TGGACGTGTTGTTTTTTTCCGCAGATTGTTGTTGTTTCTTTTTTCAAGCATGTTTTTTGAGTATGTGCAGCGGCGTGCATGTGCCTGCGTAAAGGCAGCAGACGCAGTTGGACCGAGCCCTTGCATGGCTGCAAACATGCCGCCTCCTCGAGCTAGAAACATGGCTAGTGCCAAAGACTTGGTGAAGTGCTTCAGATCTCACTTCAAAGACCTGGACCCGGCAGCTTTCAGAAAGGATGTGGAGGAGGTTATAGCACAGTATGAGGGCTTGCTGGCAGACATCATGGATGAGACAGTTCGGCCTTCAGAGTCTGCGCTGAGGGACGGCTTGGTCAGATCTTATGACGTCAGTGGCAAGGATGCTCGCGCAGTGGCAAGGGACATATCTGCTTGCTTCAAGCATTTGAGGAGCAAGCTGCAGTCCAGCAGTTCCGGGAAGAAGCTCACGCCCAGTGTGTGGAGGCTTGTGTCGAAGCTCAAGCAGCTTACAGGGCAAGGCGCTCCGCAGAAAGCCATGGATCCCATGAAAGAACGCGAGCCCGTCGAGACACCTGGCGCAGCACAGGCTCTTCCTGCAGGTGACCCTGCACCCTTTAAGCCAAGCAGAAGATACCGTTTCAAAAGGAAGGCTTCAGCTTCGTGCGATGTTTTCAGCATGTATGGTCTTCCAGCCACTGCCAGTAATGCATCAGTTGACGATGAGGCAGCTGCAGAGGCCTCTGACGTGGGAGAGGCAGACCAGGTGGACTCAGATTCAGATGTTTTGGTTGTGAAAGACTCGGAGGAAGAGGATCTCCAGGCTGCTGCAATCCCTTTGGCAAAAGCGTACTTTGACCCCAGCCAGGGCTGCTATGTCAAAGCCTTGGAAGGAGGCAAGTGCATTCATGGCGAGTTGAAGGAAGGAGCAGCTGGGTTTTGCATGGTTCACTTCCCAGACGAAGAGCCGTTTGAGAGCCAAGTCCCGAATCTATGGCTGTCGAGTCGCAAAAGCGCGCCGGCTTTCAAGTTCTCCAAGCGCGGCAAGGCCGCCTTCGGAAAGGCCAAGAAGAAGGCGAAGCGAGCCGCAGAGCCTGCTGGAAAGGAGGCAGAGGCTACTGTGGGATCCAGCGAGTCCGGCGAGAGCAACCAGGAGTTGCTAGCAGTCGCGCCTCTGGAGCTGGAGTCTTGGAACGGGTACCCTCTAGCTGGTATGCCGCAGGAGGCGCTGCCGCCTTCCGGATGCTCAGGCCTGCACTCCTACACCGTGAAGGCTCTGATCCTTGGCACTAGTGTGAGTATAGATGTTCTCATGCGAGGCAAGGCCTTTTATATAAAAAGACCAGAAATCTGCAAGGGGCAGCACAGTTGGTCGAAGCACAGCAGCATCACGGAGTGCTGGGTTCAGTGCCTTGAAAAAATCAAGGACACGCTAAGGGACGAGAAGGACGCTGTGCCAAATTTGGAGTGAATATTGCATTTGAACAAACCAACTGGATCGCTTAAAAAGGCCTGCTCCGCAGACCATGCCGTTTTTGGATTTGCATGACGTTTTGAGCAGCATCAATTTTTTGGGGTTTGTTGAGTTGCATGACCTTGTGTGTTTGTGCGTTGCATGAGCGTTTGGACCGCAGCCATTTTTATGTGCGCACCCTTTCAGGACTTTGCTGGCAAGCATGCATGTATATGCAGTTGTTGATGTCACTTGTGCCTTGTGCATGGTGCAGGCCTCCTTGGCAGGAGGGTATAGCTTGATCTCTTTTGTGTCGAAGGTTGCCAGATCTTCTTGTGCATGGCCAGGACTGATCCTTCAGGAAGTTTCTTTGTGAAGGCCATCCTCCTTGGCAGGAGGAATTCAATGTTGAAGTGCAGTTGCCGCGCATGCATGCGTGCCCTGACTTAGTCTGCAGGTGATGATGCCAGCATCTGCCGGCCCAAAGTCTCCTTGGAGGAGACAGGGTTGCGCACGAGCTCTTTGTTAACTCATTGCTTTGTTCTGAGATGCTTTGGCCATGTTGCTTGCATGACAAATGTGCGCTTGTTGGCAGATATGTTTGAGCTCAAGTGGCTATGATGACAGGCATGTCAGCACATGATTGCATGATATGGTCACAGTCAGGCAGCTTGCATAATCATGGCTGGCAGTAGCAAGAGCGGCTATGGCAAAGAGTGGAGCAAAGAGTGGAAAGGCCCGATCCGGCTTGGAAGGGGTCTGATTGGGGCAACGAGGCCTTGCTAGACCTCAGGTTTTGCAAGGCTTGCAAGACGAAGTCGTATCTCAGAGGATCGTTATGCGCAAATTTGTTGTGCAGCCAGTACTACATGCACCAACAGCCATCCTTGGCAATGTGGAAGAAAGGAGTGAGTGAAGAATGTTGGTCGCCGCAGTCCTGGCGTCAGAGCGGATTCAGTGATGCGGTTTACCAGAGGCACCTCACAGAGGAGTGGGCCCAGATGGAGGAGGAAGAGCACGAAGATTCGGACGAGATGGAAAAAGTCGTCATCGAAGAGGTGGCCAGCAGTGAGGAAGAGACCGCTGCTTGGAAGAAGCAGCAAGAGGTGCCTGCGGAGGAAGGTGATGCGGCCCGGGCAGGGTACCAGTGGGCAGTGAAGGAGAAAAAGGCAGCCGAGCTTTTGAGCGCCAGCATTAAGATGGAGAAAAGTGCCGATGTCCCTTTGGAGACAAAATCCTACTATGCGAAGTGGGCTTTGCAGGAGGCCCAAGGAAGGGACGAAGCTCAGGAGAAAGCAAAATTGCTTGGGAAATCCGCAGAGGATTTCAAAGAGCTGGCAACTCTGCACCCTTGGCGTGTTGGTGGAAAGGAGCGCCAGGAAGAAAAAAAGAATGAGAATGAGAAGAATGAGAATGAGAAGAATGAGAATGAAAAGAATGAGAATGAAAAGAATGAGAATGAAAAGAATGAGAAGAATGAGCAGCCGGCGGTGGTGGCCACTCAGCAGGATGCGTTTGAAAGCTGGCAAAGATCCTACTGGGGGACAGGTGCTTGGGCGCGCGACCACGGCTGGGAGGAAGAGCCCGCGAAGGGTAAAAAAAATAAGGGACGGAAGCGAAAAGCTTGGTTGGAGGCTCAGATCGATTCTTTGAAGGTGAATGGAAGGTGGGTTGGGCCTGGCCATCCCAGCGCAGTGGCAAAGGCCATCCGGCTGGCTGCCTTGAGAGATCACATTGATTTGCCATGTTTTTTTGGGAGTGTCCTTTTTTGTGTGTGAATCTACCCTGCAGGAAGGCGATACTTTCAAGAAGCCCGAGAATAAGCCCGCAGCAGATCCGTCGGAGAAGGAGGCCAGCTTGATTTTTTTTTACGGTTTTGATACTTGTGCAAGATGCTTGTCCTGACCAGGCAGATGCTTGAGTGGCCAGATCAGATCACGATACCGTGGAATCTTCGAGCGTGTCGGATGGGAAAACGCATGCCAGATGTGCTCAAACTTGTTTGCCTGGTCAAGTTGCCATGTTTCTTGCATCTTGCCAAACATGTCTGGGGTGTAGGAGCGTGCTTGGACAGCTGCTGCCTCAGACAAAAGGCCTCCTTGGTGGGAGGATTTGTTTTTTGAGAAGGACTACCTCCTTGGCAGGAGGCTTAATTGGTATGGTCTTAGATTGACTTGCGATCAAAGATGCATTTGTTTGTCTTTTTGGCATGTCTGCATCTTTGATTCACATTGCAAGGTGCTAGGAATTCCTTTAACTCAGATGTTATCCTTGTGGACTTCGCCATGCAGCCAGGGCCTCAGAATATCAGACTTGTAGCCACTGTTCAAGTATGTTGCTGGTTGTAAGCGCCTTGCAGTGCTGGTAGACTGTGGTTTGACTTGACTTGGTCTGTGTGCATGGCCGTGGCAAGCCTCCTGAGAAGGAGGCATCCTCCTTGGAAGGAGGCTGGCACCTTCACTAATAGACATTGGGGCTGTGTGCCCATTGATGGTTTTCAGCTTGCAGTCAAGTGTGTGCATTGTTGTTTGGTGTGACTTGCCAAGTTTCTTCGGTCTTGCAGCTTCACTGATTTGATATTGATCGCACCATGATCACTGCATTTGGTATTGGTTAGGAAATCAACAACACACAGAAAATTTTTAACAATCATTTTTTTAACAAATTTTTAACTGTTAAAAATTTTGATTTTAAATGGAGTTTCCTTTTAAAATCAAAATTTTTAACAGTTAAAAATTTGTTAAAAAAATGATTGTTAAAAATTATTGTCCGGGTGTGGGAGTAATATAATATATTTTGTGGGTGCAGGCAACCCGGGATGGGGTTGTGACTTGATATAGTGGTTTATTTTTGTTTGGTGTATACATTGCATTTTGAAGGATTACAGTAGTGCTATACATTTGACATGAATCTATGAAGTTTGAATCAGGTAGGATTGAGTTTGCTGTTTGACACTCCCTTGTGAGGCGATGGTTTGCGGCCATTCTGGTTTGTTTTAGCCAGATCCCCACAGTTGTCAGCCATGGTATGGCCTGATGGGGATCCCGTGCTGCTAAGCTACTGGAGAAATTTGGCAGGAACAATCTGTCATGTAAGCCTTCATCAGTCAGGCTGGGAGAGCAGGACGCCTTGGTACAGATTGCCTGAGAACATTGGTAGTTTGCAGCAAAGCCTGCCCAATGCTGGAGATAATTTTGGGCCAGGTAGAAACGAACTAGAAGATCTCAGAAGGATGTACGGTTTCAGAGGCTGAGCTTGGCATTGGAGTGTGCCAAAACAAAAGGCTCGGGCGCATAGTTTGAATATCAATCCAGAGTGTTTAAGATAAAGACACGCGCGCGGCAGTGTTTCTCTAGGTGTCGAATGTTGAGAAGGCTCAAGCTTAGGTCAGGTAAGGATCATGGCTCCCAAAATGGGGAAGACTGCCAAAGCTATGGCTGCAAAGTCAGCTGCCAAAGCTACAGCTGGCAAGAAAGTCAAAAAGGAAGTGAAAACAACGCCCAAGGCAAAGCCGAAGCGTGTCAAGGAGCCTGTTTTGGAGACTGTTGGCGATGCCTCGGCCTCAGACCAGGCTGCCAAAAGGGAAGATGGCCAGGCGCCCATGGAGCATGATGGGTCTGGGGCCCCACCAAGCCAGCTGGGCTACGCCAGAGGCACAGTGAGCGCGCTTCTCACTTCGCTAAAATACCAAGTGAAGGCAAAGAAAACCAGTGACTCCCAGAAGGATGACGCACAGAAGGTGTTGCAGGACCGCCGCATGCATGTTTGAGTTTGTAGTGGGCTTCTTGGCCAGCTACTTAACTGACAGCTTGATCTCCTTGGTAGGAGTACGAAGCGGGCACCATTGAGGAGAAGAAGTTGATTCTGGACAAACTGCAAGAATTCGGAGTGAAGAATTGCAGCTGGGTCCACAGCCTGGAGTCCCTGACATCTAACATTAAGGACGAGACTGAGTCCTTGGTCACCAACTTCTTCACCAGGTTGTTTGGCTTAGTAGTGGCTTTTGTTTTTCTCTTCTGCAGTTTCATGGCTTGCTAGCAGCATTCTGGGATTGCGCCAACGCAGCTGAGGCAAGGGATCTTCGAAATCGAGCATATTGACACAGCCGGCCTGTCAGAAAATGACAAGGATGAGATTTTGGAGGAGATCCTCTCCAAATCTGAGAAGAACTTTGGCCACTCGAGGCAGGTGCAAGAGCACTCAAAGTTCAAGCAGTTGCACAAGTACCTTTTTGTTTACACCAAGGGCAAGAAGAACACTGAGGGCACAAGGACAAGCAGCAGCATGTCAAGCACTGCTGCGGGCATGAAGGGCAAGGCAAGCCAAAAGATGGCTTTGGACTTGCTGGGCCGACCAGAGTTGGCCAGTTCTTCTGCAGCTGAGCATGGCATGTCTGCGTCTTTGTCTGAGGCCAAGTCTGAGTCAAAGAGCCTGCAAGCTGCGAGGGTTCGCCTCAGCAAGCTGTTGGAGGACTTAAAGCTCCTGACAGCAGAGATCGCTGGCCTGAAGAATAACAGCTGGGGCAAAAAGCTAGGAGAGTTGGAGAACGCTGACCAGCAGTTGTCTGGCTTTCTGTCAGAGGTGAGGACGCAGCTGGCCGTTCCCTTTCCAACCGACAAGCTGAAGGAATTGAATGAGAAGGCAAGCATGCACGAGAAAGCAGTGAAGCTGATCTACAAAACAAGCAAGAGTTTGCTCTCCTGAGAAGATATAGTACAGGAGCCACGCCTGTGGATTTTGTTTGCAGGCTTGTCCTAGAGATGGAAAAAGCAGCAGATCGAGTCATTGAGATGCTTCGCGCATGTGTCTGCATGCCTCTTATATTTTCTTGGCCGGTTGGCTCAAGCTGTAGTTTGAAGTTGGCCCACAATCACTGCAGTCACAGTTTAAAATAAGATAAAGCAAAGCTAAATCTCTTAAGCGCTCGCCTCTAAAGCGCCATAACTTTCAAGTGTGCACTTGTTTGGTAGGGCAAGGCAGAAGAGCCTCCTTGTTGGAGGAGATGTACAACAAAAGGACACTGCCATGCGAGGAAGTGAATGACATTCCTCCGGAGAAAAGGTTTCGAGCAGACATGATTGACATTTTTTTTAACAATGACTTATCTGGACAAAGGTCAGCCAGAGTATTAGGCAACGCTTCCTTGGCTGGAACGCAGCACATCCAAGATTTGCAGGTGGCGCCAGGCAAGAATGCTTACAGAAATTTGCTGCGAAAGTGTTTTCGAAACACAAAATGGCCTGCGCCGTATGAGCTGCAAGTCACAGCCTTCAATGAGGCTACGGAGTGCATGCTGATGCTGCATGAAGTGGTTCACGCGCTGTTGAAGGTGAATGACCCTCGGGTCTTGCTGGAGCACCAACGGGCAATCTTGGCTGAACGGCCCGACCTGGAGCAGCATTTAGCAAATTTCGACTTGGCCAAGGATGATAAGGTGCTGCTCTTGGGGCTATGGATCGATGGAGTCCCATTCAATTCTGACAGATCGCAGACTCTTGGAGACCATTACATTGTGCGCTTGAGAGTGCCCTTGTGTGCTTTTCCGAAGGCGATGCGAGCTAAGGGAAAGACATATGAGTGCATTTTTGAGGCATTGGCTTGGAGCTTCAGGATCTTATTAGTAGACAAAATGCCTCACCAGAGGCACACGCAGCAGGAATTCAACAAGAGTGATGCCTATAGAAAAAAGTTGGCAGGCAAACCAGTGGGAGTGCGCGCAGCTCTGGCAGAGATGAGAGGAGACTGGTCAATGTACAAGGAGGTACTAGATTTTCCAAGCTGGTCTGCCAAGGGGCATATCTGCTGGCTTTGCAACGCCACCAAGACTGACTTGAAAGATTTCAGCAACGCAACATTTGAGAAGCGTCTTGTCTGAGATTGTTAGATAAGGGCTTATAAAATTTGTGGTTCATTCGTATAGGCATGACGCAGCCCTAGCAGGCTAGCCTGCTCTTAAGAATTCTTGTGCTGGCTTTCGTCTGCTCAGGTATCCTTTGATTTCGGCGATGGATTTCTTCTTGAGGCAGCAGCAGTCTGGAAAACTGATTTCAGCTCTCTTTTCAGTTCCTGGCTTCACTACTCAGAGCTGCAAGGTGGATTTCCTTCACTGCTGCGACTTGGGGGTGACGGCTGACTGGCATGGCTGCTTGCTTTTTTACATTCAGCAGCAGAAGATCGCAGGAGTTTCCATGCGCGTCAGATGCGCCAAGCTGTTTCGTGATATTCAGCAGTTCTACAAAGACAACAAGGTTCAAGACAGGTTGCCAAAGCTTCTCCCCACCATGTTGAGACGCGAAGTCAAGGGAAAGAAGAAAGTTCCAAAGCTTCGAGTCAAAGCAGGAGAGAGCAGAGCTTTGGTGCCGTGCTGTTTGCAGCTGGCCACTCAATACATGGACGCAAGCATACCTCATGAGTCAGCTATGCTGCAGGGTTGCAAGCACTTGCAAGCTATGTACGCTTGCTTGAGTGCGGCGAACTGGGACGCTGACAAATTCCTACGAGCAGCGCAGAAGTTTCTGTTGCTCATGCGCACCTTGGAAAGTTTCTTTGGGGAAGATATTTTGTTTCGAGTGAAGCCCAAAGGGCACTTACTTCTGGAGCTGGCTAGGTCCAGAACCAATCCTGCGCACACTTGGACATATCGAGATGAGTCGTTTGGCCACACATTGGCATTGCTGGCCAGACGAAGAGGAGGAAAGTTTTCCATGGCAGCAGTTTCCAAAGCGACATTGCTGAGATTTCTTGCTGCCAACAAGGTGCTTAGATTGGACATGTGAAGTATATAGCGCAGGGCAGCGAGCTTTAGAGGTTCTTGCTAGCAATATACAAAACAGAAAACGGTGTAAAATGAAATTATGAAAAAAAAAAGCGCATTCCATATATATTGAAAGTTGCACAACTCAGAAGCAACAATGCTTAATTAAGCACTGTTTCTACAATGCTTAATTAGACAATGATTGCTTAATTTTTTTGTCATAAACAATCCTTAAAGTTAAATAAGCACTTTTGGAGGCTCTGGGGGTTAACCTCGCATTTGTGACATTGGTGCCACCAATGTCAAGGAATCCCTCTCTTTAGAGGGCGTTTCCCAAATGGATTCTATTCTACCTGAATCACATCGTGGGGGGAGTTCAATGCAGGGAATCCCTGCATTCCCGGTATCTCTCTCTTTAGAGGGGGTTTCCCAAATGGATTCTATTCTACCTGGCACTTATGTTTTCGAAGTGCCTTGGGGGCTCGGAGCTCGGAGTTTTTTGGGCCCTTATAGGAACCTATAGGAACCTATAGGAATCTTATAGGAAACCTATAGGAAACTCATAGGAAAAGAAGAAGAGGCATTGTTGAGACAATAATGAATCGCCTTGAAGCAACAATGGCGCAACATTGGATCAATAATGCGCAGCCCGGAGCAGCGAACTGCGCGAACTGCAGCGACAGCTGCAGACTGCGCCGCGCGAAAGCGCGAACACAGAAGCTGCAAAATAATGACCCCTAGATATGCGGTTTGGTTTGTTTCTGCAAGGCGAGCGCCCTCAAAGGAAACCCTGGCTGGCTTTTTTGGTTGGCTTCTGGCTGGCTTGGCTTGGCTTCTGGCTGGCTTGGCTTGGCTTCTGGCTGGCTTTCTGGCTGGCTTTCTGGCTGGTTTGGCTTGGCTCCTGGCTGGCTTTCTGGCTGGTTTGGCTTGGCTTGGCTGGCTTTCTGGCTGGTTTGGCTTGGCTTCTGGCTGGCTTTCTGGCTGGTTTGGTTGGCTCCTGGCTGGGCTGGCTTGGCTTTCTGGCTGGCTTTCTGGCTGGTTTGGCTTGGCTTCTGGCTGGCTGGCTGGTTTGGCTTGGCTCCTGGCTGGCTTTCTGGCTGGTTTGGCTTGGCTTTCTTTTTTTTCCCTGTTTTTTTTAGCTCGCCTTGCAGAAACGCAGCTGCTGGGCATTTTGCAAGCATATCTAGGGGTCATTATTTTGCAGCCACACGCCTGCACGCAGCGTTTTAGACTTCGAATCCTTCGCAGGACGAGGTCAAATGCTGGACGGACAAGTGCCAGGAGCCTGTCAAGTAGAATAGAATCCAGTTGGGAAACCCCCTCTAAAGAGAGAGCCTGCGGTGCTCCAGCGTTTTGCGAAGGACTTTTCTTTTGGTCATGAGTTCCTCTAGCTTGACCAGCTTGGTCTGCATGAGTTGGATGGTATCGTGGGCGAAGTGAATCTCCCAACCGCACCACACAAGGCAATCTTGGAACTGTGCCTTTTTCCAGAAGCTTGGTGCGGCTATAGCGCAGCAAAATAAAGCCACCAGGGCGAACATCTCTGGCGCTTGGGCACGGAGCAGGAATGCCTTGTGCGGCTGCCACACGGCCGTGGACCTGGCGCAGCAGGAAGGCGCCCGTGCGCTGCCACCAGTAGGCCGAAAAACGCCCGCCAAAATGGCAGACTTTATAGTGATAGAGTCTGCCTTGGAAGGCGAACAGCAGTAGGCCGTGCTCGTCTGGGCGAACTTGGATTTGTTTGTGGGCGGCCTTGAAATCAATGCTGGCACCCAGCAACCCTCCTGGTGCGTCACCCGCTTGGGTGGCCAATGCCAGGTCAGAAGCCATCGGAAGGCTAAGGCGCTCTGGCAGGTAACATCTAGCGTTCACCTGACACACCGTGCTATCAAGAACCAAGCGAGGCTCTTTGTTTTCAGCGAAGACCACATTTAATTTGCCAACTGCGACACCTGAGGGCCATTTTTGCTGCGCCTCTGCGATTGTCAAGTCGGTGGCGACGACCCAATTATTAGAAATTTCTTTATCTAAAAGCTTTGTACGATTTCCGGCTCCTCTTCTGCTGTTTCCAATTGCCTTCGCACACTTCCAATTCGGGCAGTGCGGAGGCGTTGGGAGGCTTCGCCGGCCACTGCCTGCTACATGGCATAGGGCCTAAGGGCTGTCCGTAAATTGGAAGGCGTTGGGATTCGGAGGGCTTTGTAGGCAACGGCTTTGGTGCATTCCTGCTGAGTTCTCCTGGCTAACATGTGCTATTATGCCTGGCACCATGCCGCGCTCATGGAGCCACAGTTGAATGCTCGCAGACGGGAGTCGGCACGGCGCGAAAGGTGCTGTGCAGCTGCAGCGCACGCTTCACGACTCCTGTTTTGGAAACCCTTCCTGCGCCGACTGCCGCCAGTTGACACGCCAGTGTTTCTGGATACTCAGCGGTCAGAGTGCTGAGAAAGACTCCATTTTCGACCACTCCAGCAATGCTTGTGCGCTTGTATGTGTGACTGCAACGTGCTGCCAGGGCTTGGATGCGAGGGCTATTACATCCAAAGGCCCATGACTTTGCAAACGTTTTTCCATGCTGACAGGCGTCGACCCATACAAGGCTACACTGATGCTCGCGGAGCATGTGAAAGTTAGCCTCTTCAAGCCAGGACATGGTAGAGGGCGGCTGTTCCCAAATTCCGACGCCTCCTTTGGAGACGACTGCCATGAACAAGGCTGCCCTCTCATGAATCCATAGCCGGATGCTTGAGTTGGCAATTCATGATGGCACACATGTGCGTGAACTGACACGAGTCTGAGGCGCATAGGCCGGTTTGATACTTGCATATCTTGCGTTTGGCGTTGGGGAGGCTCGCGGCTCCTTTTGACTTGCCTTTTCCCTTCTTGCCTGGCCGGGAGGGCCGCGAGACCCGCGCGGGCTCACTGGAACGCCGGCGCTCGCGCTTTGCGC